TACACCGATTCGGTGGAAGGAATCAACGCAGACAACGTCTTTCCAACCCTGCACTGCGCTGATAAATTCGGTTTGCCCTTGCTGGTGGACACCTGTTGCGCTTACATCATCGAACACCTGAATGCGGATAACTGCCTGACCACGCTGGAAAATGTTGGTTCAAAACTAAATTTTACTCTTATTATAATCCCGTGAACTTTTATGCTGCATAGTCAGTATTTAATAGCGTATTAAATTAATGTTCCTTTGGCAGGCCAACCGTTGGAGCCCTGGTAACGTTAAGATTATGGGGAAGTGTTTCGAGATCGTCGACGCTTCCAGTGACGAAATTCTGCGGTCGGAGCGGTTTAGCAGCATTGGACACGACAGTTTGATTAAGATTCTACAGCGTTCATCTCTGTCCGTCCATGAGAGTATCGTGTATATGGCAGTGGACAAGTAAGAAAAACAATTAAAAGAACCATATCTTGAAAATATATCAATCAGTCAACAGATTTTCCGTAAATCCTCTTCTTGAATGGGCCCTTGCTCTCTTTTTTAATAGCTCTACCTTTTTCCACTTAAACTGATTCCCATAACGCGCTTTTTATTTTCCAGTCAGAGTTTCGTAGAAGAAGTCACTTTTCGGGGCAAAAATTAAAAACCATAAGGAATGGGAGCTTTCAGATATTTTCCCAGATACAAACCGAAGAATGCTGCAATTCTGGGCAGTTCCATTTGTGTCACGCGCCGGAAGTCTGTAGAATCCGTTCGTTAAAAATAAACTTGGCTCTGCCCTTATCATGAAATTTCTGTGCAATTAGGAACAAAAGTTTCAGTATAATTGCAGCGGAAGCGCTACAATCCAACAATGTACTGAAAATTTTATCTTTCCGCACGCGAAAAAATTAGTCTAAATGCGCAGTCATGACTCTATTCCCAACATGGGAGTCATGCCTTGTAATCTTTCGCTGCCGCCTTTATGCGGAAAATGTATTTTGTTACTGCGCAGCAAGTTTTGTGGAACCGGTTTATTTCTAGTCTGTCAAAGCAGGTGGGCAGTGGCGGCTTGCCGGGAACGCAACTTGGAACCGTCCGCCGCCAAACGGCGGGAAGTGCTGGGTGCGGCGCTCTTTCTCATTCGCTTTCCGCTCATGACAGATGCTCAGTTGGCCGTGGGACCGATCCAGGTGAGTTGAACTGCAGTGGTGTGATCATCTTATTTGCAAAACAGGACTGCGCATCGAAAGTTTGCCAGTTGCAAGCATTTGCTTTTAATCCGCAACAGTGTTTTACAGGTTCCTGATTCACCGTCTTCTATAATTATATTTTGTTAAGTAGTAATATTAATAACAACATTTTAAAAGTTATCCTTTAAAAATTTCAATAAACCTTTTTACTTGTTCTTTTTAAAAGTTCTCAGTTCACCTCGTTGGCAACGAGGTAGTGTAAAGTTGACAACATTTATCAATGAAGTATGAGTTGCATTTAGCTACTCCACTATTGAAACGATGCTCTTAAAGCATCTCAACTCGAATTGCTTACTCAGCGCTTCGAGGGAGCTTGCGATTGTACGGGTTGAAAAAGGATTTAAGGTCACGAATCAGCTATGATTACGATACACGAGCGAGAGAAACACCAGTTCACTGTGCGGCCAGATCGCAGGTCTAATTTATTAGACGTCGTCCCGTACGAACGGAAGAAGAAACACAGCTAAAATCAGGAATAGAAATAGAATGGTCAGCTTCGGATAATGTGTCTACATAGTTATTAAACGCTTATGGCAAGCTAATCAGAACAGGATGTCGCGTTTTGTGAACCGCTTAGACAACATTCATTCGCTTTAATATGCTGAATGAATTGTATCAGTACTGTATCACTGTCACGATCGATTTTCACTGCTTGATTACTACGTAATATTACTAGTATTAGAATGGTATTTTATGCGTATGTATTTTTGGCTAGAGTGGACTACTGCTGCTCACCGAGCTACGTGATATCTACCTGTACAAACACGCCCCGGAAAAGCCAGCCCTTCCGTTTCCGACAGAGCCACGCCGAAGCCGATTCAGCAACGTAACGGCCAGTTCGCGTACACACACCGAGATGGAGTGTTCGTCCAAGACTGCCGCGCTGAATAGTGGGCCTCTGCCAGCACGTGCCGGTTTCCAAGCGAAACCACCGACAACTGGGAAGGGGGAAGTTAGTTCCTCAAATGCAGGGTCGGGATTCCGCCGTAATCGGCTAGATCTGAATCGTTTGCGGTACGCCCTCGAAGAACACAGGCGACGCTCGTATTACGACCGCTATCTCGACCAATGCGGTAGCTAAGAAGCACGGTGGTTAACACATGGACGCGGCCGCTGTTCGAGCGAGGGATAGCGATTAAGTTTACGAATCTAATGCTGCTTGAGCAGCTTGCTCCTGAAATGTAAAGCAAACAGTAGGGTGCTGTCCGGATTAAATCCAATTTTGTCGCATAACCTACGAACTGGGATGGCGCTCACTATTACTGACCCAAAGTTCATTTGCACTGATTTTGTAATTTTTTTATATTGTATAGATATTCGTGCTTCTGTTATTTTCATAATCGCGTTGTATGTAAATTTTTCATAATCGCATTCTTGCTAAGCAGAAGCACAGCTAACGAAATCAGCGTGTTCTTGGTAAGAAGAAAACAGCGTACTAATGTTTGAATTTGAATTTCTTTCGTCTATGCTTAAAGTACTTCTATAGATATTTTTATTAAACGGAACAGGAAACGAAACTGAACGAAACAGTGGAACGAACCTAAATTTCCCCGTCCGTTCTCATTTATTATCTCATTTTCTATCGGAATCGTAACAAAACTGACAAAATCGATGTGTTATGTGTTTCCCCGTTATATAAAGAGAACGTGCAGCTGACACTTGACACTATCATCTTATACTATCTTTATGTAAATGCCTTTGGTCGAGTGCGTTGTTTATGAAGCAGGATGCTGTGGTGCAGGTTCCCACCCAAACATGCTCCAGAAATGTCAGCACTCCAGTTCTCGCCGCAACCGGAAGTCAGCATCCAACGCCACATCGGCCCGTACCCGTTTTGTTATGCGGTGTGTACGCAGCACGAAGGGCGCTGGTATCCGACGAAAGTGGTTGAGAAACGGGAAAGAGACGTGGTCACCTGCTGATCAACAATAATAAGGTGATGGGCTGCGGCTACTTCCTGCACGCGGCGCGGCGGTAAGCACGTTCCCTGGGACTTTGCAGTAGGCGGCCGGGATATGTCGGTTAATTTTAGGGCGCTCTGATTTAATAATATCCGAGTGGTTCGTCAGTGTCGGCGAAATTGCACCTGGGCCGACAAGATGCTTTTAAGGCGTCCCCTGGGTGGATTTGAATGGACAGTCGCTGCCGAAGAACTCGGGAACGTCGTTGGCCGGGAGACTAAAGTATCCCGGTTTTTTTCCGTCTACAGAGCTGCAATCATGGGCGGTCGCCGAGATATGCATTCCTAATGAATGCAAGGTCTTATGCGGGGGACGGCTCGTTCAAATGATCTACTTCCGGTGTGCGAGTTGCACAATGCACATCTGCACATCAGATTAAAAACTCATTTTCGCTATCTGTAAGAAGTGTCGGAAAGCAAGTGTAATTCACACGACTGGGTGTTTCGATTAATTTTGATTTTTTGCTTTCTATAACGCTGCGATGAGGAAGCATTGCTAAATCTCGATACGAGCACTACTAGGATATTATACGTATACTCGAGACATTACGAAAGCTAAGGCATAAAATCGACTGCGATGAAGTCGGGATAGTGGAGACGGTGCACTGTGTTGCCCATAGACTTACATACAACTTTGAAATTCTAGAATTCCTTGTATTTTTGTTAATAAGCCTACAGAAACATCTCAAAAGAAAGAGAATAATTTGTTATTTTTTTTTATGCTGAGTTAGCGCGGATCCGTGGCAAACTGGATGCGATATGAGTGTTTTCAGTTAACATGGAAGTCTATGGAAGAAGCCTGCACTTGTGGTGTGGATTTACTGTGGACGGCTACGGTCTTCCGACCAAGTTGCTGACTATCAGTGTGTGTTCATTTTCTGAAATATGAGTCCAGAAAGTTATATTTTTACTTGACTTTGTTTCCTGGACTTCAATCATAACGGAAACGACAGTGGTTACAGCTTAACCACTCTTTGAAGACACACCACTACCTTGGCTTTTGGAACCACCATTTGAGAGGCCAAAGTGTGCGATAACTCACTTTTTACCGCTAGAATTTTTGGGGACGGTGAGGGAGCATAATGTTTTTGAGTTTTAAACAGAAGAAAAATCATTTAGACACCAGGAAAATTCGTTCTGCTGGAACGCAAAATTGTGCAAGCCTATGGACTTCATAACATGGGGTCTCCCCTACCGTGACGTCATCGTACAGGCTGCCAGTTCGATTTTATGCCTTAGCTTTCGTAATGTCTCGGTATACTATATCTGTCTATCTGTCACTAGCAGCTGTCATTCAGGTATAAAGCTGTCGATAACCCTGTGTGTCCACCCGTGCAACTGTGGAAATGTCGAAAACTGCGCCTGGACTGACCAGAGCCAGCTTCACACGGGGCACGATTCCCGCGGTCGCTCAGCGGATGGTGCAGATACTACAGACTGGAGATCTGAGCGATGTCCAGTTCTCCGTAGGACGAGATTTCGGACCAGCGAAAATCTTCAAAGCCCACAAGTAAGTTGCCGTTATCTCGCTGGACGGACTCTTACGATCTGAGACCGTTTGACGGCTTGCCTGTTGTACAAATACTGGATATTACAGCCAACTAGCCAAGCAGTGTATCTTTGAAAGTTTTGGCTTTTTCTCACTCGAAACTAACGTTTTCGTAACCAGGACCAAAATTAACGCAAAAGATGCTGAAGCAGGCCACTAGCTGCCACGCCGATAACAGTAGGTTATTTAAACGACCTGCAGTATTTAACAGGCTCGTGCTAAGCAGTGCCAGCGATGTATTTTACACCATGTTCCACGGGAGTCTGCCTGAGAAGTGCGATGCTCCAATTCATATTCCGGATATTCCTCCTGTGGGCTTCGCAAATATGCTGAAGTATGTTCATCGATCCTACGACGTCATACGCAGTTACAAGTTGATAAGTTCAGTTACGTAATAACTTTGACCAGTTGTTCTCATTACGAGCTCTTTCAAAATGCGAGCTCTTTATCTGCGGTGGATCGGACACACAACAAGAAGAGGTCGCTGCAAATTTCAAGGCACATTTTCCCAGTTTGTCGGTGGTGTCCAAAGACAAGCTCAGCCTCTTGGGATCACCTTTGTTGCCGACAGGAGTAACACCCGTAATTAAAAAGAAAGTGGAAGAAGTGAAGAACATGAGCGAACGACTTACGCTAATTCCAAAACACCAAGCACTGTTTTTGTTAAAAAATTGCCTTGGCGTACCGAAAATCGTTCACCTCCTTCGTACTTCCTTGGCGTGGCAGTTTCCGGAAGAATTATACGCCCTAGATCAAACTTTTCGCGCTGCTGTGGAGACCATCACTAACGTGAAAATGGATCACCCTACGTGGATGCAGGCATCACTTCCTGTTCGATTGGGTGGTTTAGGTATACGACGCACCGAGGAGCTAGCTCCCTCCGCCTACCTGGCATCGGCTTCCTCTGTGCGCCCGCTTATCTCTAAATTATGCCCGATACTACCACCGACCGATGTAACATCCGCAACACTGGCCTGGAAGTTGCTTACAGGTTTAAATGATGTGCCGGCTGAACCCCTTCACAGCGTCCAAAAAGCATGGGACACTCCTGCGACCTTGCGTGCCCTCTCTGACCTTTCTGCACTCCGTGTCTCCGCCACAGAAGTCGCACATTTGAAGGCGGTGTCAACACCAGAATCCGGTTACTGGATTCACGCATTACCAGCTGCTTGCTTAGGTAATCTGTTAGAAAATATTGATTTTCAGACCAGCGTCGCTCTACGATTAGGTGCCCCTATCGTAACTCCTCATGAATGTAAATGCGGCGAATGGGTGGACGAGTTCGGGAGACATGGAATGCGGTGCAAACGATCAGCCGGACGACTACCTAGACACGATGGCATCAGCAGGGAGTTCGCTCGCGCGTTAACGACGGGCGGTTTCCCTGCCAGAGTAGAACCGAAAGGATTGGCCATAGTGGGTAACAAAAGACCGGATGTAGTTACGCTTATCCCATGGGAACGTGGTAAACCACTCGCAATAGACGTAACCTGTGTTGACACTCTGGCAACTTCTTATGTTGATCGTACATCCGTCAATGTCGGTGCGGCAGCGGAACTAGCCGAAACAAAAAAGCTCGCAAAACATGCGTGGCTTCAGCCAAGGTACGATTTTGTCACCGCTGCCTTCGAAACCTACGGACCTTTGGGCGGCGGAGCTAAGAAGCTAGTGGATAAAATCGGACACCTCGTCGCGGCCACTACCGGGCAACCACGGGCGAAGGAATTTTTCCGGCAGCGGATCTCCATACAGATTCAAAGAGGAAACGCTATGTGCGTGATGGGCACAATACCGGATCATGAGAAATTAGAGGAAATTTTCTTGTTATAGCTTGTTAAAACTTTAACCTATTTCGTTGGATACGTTTATTCGTCGTATAAAATGCTCTCATTACGATGAAATTAATAAAGGTCAGCTTGAAAAACGGAGTTATAGATTTTACTCTGGTTTATTGAATGACCAACGGTTCTCCATGATACATCGTGTTACAGATATATCTATGCCGACAATGAAAAGGTGACGTTGGAAAATGTTCATCCGACGATGAAGTGCGCCGACAAATACGACTTGTCATTACTGGCCGACACCTGCTTTGATTTCGTCATTCGGGATCTCGTCGCGGAGGATCGCCTCACAGTAGATTCTCCTCACTGTTTACTGCATCTGGAGAATGTACGTCTGCTCATGTTTATGATCTACACGAACTTCCTAACATTTACTTGGTTACTGCGCAGGCGCTGGCGTGTGCTGTTGGTATCGACAGGGTCGTGGAAAATTGTCTGCATTATGTTGACGTACACTGTGAGGAAGTTCTCCGGTCGAAGCGGTTCACTGAATTACCGCCCGGCACCTTGCGCGCCATTCTGGAACGCGACACCCTGTTGGCCGACGAGGACATCATTTTCACGGCAGTGAATAGGTCAGTAGGGAACTACGGTTAGTCTAATAGTGGAAACGTAGCGGTTTTGTCCTGTGGCTTTCACCATTCCCGCCGGTTACAAGCATGGGGACATTAATAACAAGAACTGCAGACGAATAATTTTGATCATATTGTGAACAAACCAGAACTGAGTTACCTTCACCACTTTTCTTATCAGCCAAGCTCACATGTACACTAGCGCATTGCCAACTGCTAATTTCGTGGCACCGCTACAGCGGTTTTGTTCGACAACGGAAAATGATAAACAGAATTAAAAACAAGGTATCAAAACTTAATTAATAACAATATAGAACGGTGTGATGTGCGCGTACCTATACGTACGATACGTAGTACCAAGTACTTACTATAGTGTGAGTACTATAGTACTTACTATAGTGTACTTACTACTACTACCTATAGTAAGTTCTTGGTAGTACCTACGTACATAAGATTCTCGAGATTCTATGATGCTTTCTACCTAGCAACGCTATGTTGTACTTCCAGCGGTTGCTGTATTATGAGTTCAGTTGCAAGTTGTCGAGTTCCAGTAAAGATGCGTACTTCCCGAATTCCGATACATACTACATACAATACATAATACAATAATTATTACATAGTAAATGATGATACATACGTACATACTTCCACAAACACCATAAACGGGTAAATCAATATCAGCAGTTAAAGCAGGGGAGCGATCTATGTTCTGGTCCGTCCAGTGGCATCACCCGTACGAAATTACTTAGAAGTATTATGATTTTGCAACTTGAGAAGACTTCTTGTAGATCTATGTTCGAGATTTATGAACCTGACAGTTACATTCTGTTTTTCTCGCAGATGGGCTGCTGCTGCCTGCGCACGGAGAAATTTGGAGGCGTCGCCCGCTAACCGGCGCGAGGTCCTGGGAGAATTATTTTACCTGATCCGATTCCCGTTACTGACACCCATCAGTCAAGTGCCTGACAAACCCGCCAAAGTAAGGCAGTAAAGCTGATCGCTTTTTAAAATGCAAAATGAAGTTCGAAAATGAAATATTTTTGGGGAAAGGCTGCTACTGTTTCGCATTCAATATAAATGTTGTGAATTGAATTCTGTTGAATTTCCGCATTAGAATTAGGCACCGTTGACGCTTATTTTAATTCTCGGATCACGAGATCCATTTCAGACTTAAACCAAACCAAAATTATCAAGACTTCGAAAAAATGGTCTCTTCGACTCCAAAATGTTTCCCGAATCGGTTTGTGTGTGTAGAGTGGATTCTTTGAAGCCTTATCGTTATTGGACGTATGCCATGACAAAGGCCGATTTCCCACGCAACCCCGCCGGCCCCCCGTCATCCTTGTCGGCGAGGTGGAATTCAAGCACGCGGAGCAAGTATTTGTGGCTGATAGTGATGAGACCTTGTACGTGCCTGCATTAGTGATGGGATCGCGTGGCTCAGCAGCCCTCTGCCTGCCTCTGAATTATTTTAACGTACGTCCTCATCCCGACGACTACGACTACGACAGCGAAGATGACGAATATCATGACGATAACAAGGATGATGATTATGATGGCGACGCCGATGACGATTATGATGAGAATGAAGACCTGATGAAAGTGGACCCGGGGGATATCATTCGCGCATCCGACTACTTAACCGCTCGGCAACCGGTCTGGTACAACCATGAGAAAGCCAAATATGTCAAAGCGGAGGATTGCCGCCATATCATCGCTTTGCCGGGCCGACCTAAACGGGAAGTGGCATTCGATAAGATTTATTTGGGACATTTGCAGGTGATGGCGTGGAAGAAAGCCACGGAGATCGGCAACGGGAAGGCTCAAGCCGCTCGTAAACGGAAACGTTCACCGGATGCCCTAGTCTGCCTTGAACCGATCGTGTTGGTACCGAGCGTGCTGTTTGTTTTCAACTGATAGACCACCGAAAGTAGTCTGTAGAATGTCTTAAAATTAATTTTTGTGTGGCTTAGTTGACTCATTAACTACCTGGCTGATGAACTAACAATCTTACGCTCGGAATTCTCTGAATATTGGCCAATGCCGCGATGTGTTAATTGCAATAGTCACCTGTTAAACAAAAACTGCAAGTGCAGTATACGACTTGATATTTAATTAAAATTTAATCATGAACAAAAAGAATATCCTCTCGAATCAAAGTTTCCGTACTGTCAGAACAGCCAGACCCACATGGCGATTCCTTACGCAACAGCTAAAACGCTGATGGTGAGTACGAAAAGTGGTAGAAGGCGCTTCTCGTTATCGCGATTTTTGAATCTAAAATCTTAAAAATTATTAAAATGCTACCTCGTTTTTAGATATTTGGCGATCGTATTCTTTTGGTGTCTAGTGTGTACTGTATGACTTGACATCTGTATATAATAATAGAAAATAATAAAATTATAAGTAAGAATTTGACTGTGTCAAAAATAATAAGATTAGATTTAAGAATCTGAACACGCTGCGCGGGGTTGTTGCTAAATTTATTAATACCTTGTTCACAATTATTGCTTCGAATTTTCTCCGAATGTTTAATAAAACGAAACCATATATAGATACGACTTCCGGTAAACGGAAGATGATTTGTTGACTGGACAAGCATGGCCGCCGCCCATAGGCGATTGCTAGACGCTGTTAAGACTTCAGAGGCGACACTGCTGTAGTTACACACGGGCCACGGCACCTTCATTCCAAAGCCAAACAGCAGCTGATAGCCTTATAGATTTTTTGCTGAAAATTTGTTTTGACTTCGAAGTTATCTGGATTCGAATTTGAGCTTGCATCTCATGGCCTGCAGTTCTACTATGTGCATGAATCAGTCATCGGAGGCCAGTGAGGCTCCTATCATCGCTACCAGCGTTGAACGTCGTGGCGCTGTGGGAGTGCTGGATCGCATAAAGCGCATGTTAGTTGGCGTCCCACAGCGATGTGCACTTCGCTGTGGGACGCCAATTTGGCACTGAGAAAACCTTCCCCGCACACAAGTATATTTCATTGCAAAAGGAATTATAAACTGCTTAATACTAATCGTAAATATGCGATCATTGTTCGGTCTCCATTGCAAGGGTAGTTGATTTCGCTTTTGCAGGAATATTCTGTGCAACAGCAGCGACGTATTCAACTCAATGATTAGTAAAAGCGTGCCTGAATCGTGCCCGTTGATTATTCACTTTCCTGACATTCCTTGTGACGCGTTCGCCAACTTGCTCAGTTATGTGTACACTGATTCGCTGGAAGGCATCAACGAAGCTAACGTCTTCCCAACACTGCACTGCGCTGATAAATTTGGTTTTCCCTTAATGGCTGACACCTGTTGCGCCTACATCTTCCAACATCTGAATGCAGATAACTGCCTGATCACGCTGGACAATGTTGGTTCTAAGTAGAACTCTCATCGTAACCCCGTGCTAGGTATTAGGTAATCAGCAGATAAAAGCCAATTAAATTTGTGCCCCTTCTTTCCACAGGCCAACCGTTGGAGCCCTCATCGGCTTAATTTTGTGGAGAAATGCATGAATATCGTGACGGCTTCCAGTGATAAAATTCTGCGATCCGAACAGTTCAGCAGCATTGGACACGACAGTCTCAAGATGATCCTAAGGTTTAGGTTTAGGTTTAGGTTTTAATTGCTTATTGTCTACAGATACAAGGAATCACTCCTTATCGAGATCTATAGACAGGTCAACATAATAAAATAATAAGAACAACAATTTAAAACTCTTAAAAGAAAGAAATGAAACAATTCATCGATTTAATCAAAGGTCAAGGTTATTCGATGGCAGGTGGTCTTTAGCAGATGCGATCTCCTTCCATGAGACGTCTTCCAGTGCTGTTTGGAACGCTTGCAGTGAGCGATACGACGATAGATCCAAATCGAGGTCGTTCCAGATTTTAGCGATCCTCCATGCGAAGGAGTCTTCGCTGGCTGGCACTTCCGCTCCACAAAAATTGGTTCTGGCGGCTTGAATCGGGAATGGGTGGCGCGACATTCGATCCGCATTCCGAGTGTTACCTGCAACAGTGTTAGCGGCAGTAACTGACTCATAGCTAATGAAAAAGTTGTTACCGAAAGGTATCATGCCGAATACAAGTTTATATGCAACACACAAAGAGGTTTTAATGCGACGCAATTCAACACCGTCCCAGTTTATCTCGCGAAGCCGGCCACAGTAATCTGTAAGTGCACTACCCATTCGCAATCTTTTCAAAAATTTCAGGGCACATTTATCCAGATCATCTCTATGAGTTTTAAAAAAGGGTTTAACAACGGGACTGCAAAAATCGAAAAGGGGAAAGATTAATGCTTTATATAAACAAATAAGTGCTGCAGAATCATAATGGTTAAAAAGCGATAGAATGTAGCCTATGCGCTTCCGAATCTTGGTGCACAAATTACTCGTGTGTTCACTCCACCGTAGTTTTCGATCGACCAACAACCCTAAATATTTGGCTATAGGACGATTTTCAATCTCAACGTTGTTTAGAACATATTTATGTACGTCTCCAAACTTCGCTTCATGGAAAAGCGCATATGCACTGATTTTTTCGGGTTAAAGGTCAGTCGTTTAGCAAGAGCTGAATTATACATATACGGCATCAAATATCTTATATACGGCATCAATAAAGCATCCGTGTTTGTCCGTCAACGAAAAAATCGTATATAGGGCAGTACACAAGTAAGGACTGTGCGATTTATCAGTATGACAGTATCTATGGTAGCTATTCTGGCTAGCGAATCCCAGCACAAACTCGGCTCCAGTGGTCCAGTATAAGTTTACAACCATTCTTTTGTTGCGCATCTTCAAACAGATACACTATTTTTATTTCGCTTTCAGTTTATTTGCGTGGGAAGGTTCTGTGTCACCTTTAGGCAGAGTAGATGCCATTCTTGCTAGTTTGGTTCCTACTACCGTTCCAACGACACATTTGCAGCAGAATGTCTTTCTATGTAATTTATATTTTGTCCCTAATTTTAGACTAAAATTTCGACGTATAAAATGAAAAAGCAGCTTTTTGTGACTACGAGTACGGTATAGCAGAAAAAGCATTGCAGGTTTCTCTTTTTTTGATTTTTCGTCACGAAAAATTGTGAAGATAAACCATACCGCGTTACTAAACCGGGTGGTTGAAATTGCGTCAGGCGGCGGAAGTACCAGAATCTCATTCATTTACGTTGTTCAGTTCTGGCGTTTTCGTGAAATATGAACCTAAGCATGACAGTAAAGCGACTTCCCCAGGAAATCAAACCAACCGTTAGGAATCGTTTTGTTTGTTCCGACTTCCGAGCAGGAGGTGTTGAATGCATTCTGCGTATTTTTCTCGCACTAAACGAACACTGCGAGTGCTCTGGCTTTTTTTTATCGATCACTGCGGTGCATATTGCTCGAATCAAGTGAAATTTCCCTCGGTTGCTACAGGTGGGCCACGAAGACTTGTCAAGAACGTAAGCTGGAGCCGTCCGCCGCCAACCGGCGTAAAGTATTGGGAGCGGCGCTCTACCTTGTTCGCTTTCCGCTGCTGAGCGATGCGGAACTCGCAGTGGGGCCGGTTCAGGTCAGTTCAAATTATGCGATCATTAAATCTACCGAACCCACTACTGCGCATCAGTGGGCTTGCCTGTTATAAAATTGTTAATTTTACCTTTCTGCATCGAAAAAAATACAGCAAAAATAAAACGAAAAATGAAGATAAATGCTATCCAACCAACACTTCAAGGTTCGTCGCGTTCACAGCAAAAGTAAGGAATAACCAATACGTTACCGCACTGAGAATTTTTGCATCACTTTCTGCACATACACTACCTTTTTACTGTCATCCATATTGTTACCTTATGCATGCGTTCATGCGTTTTTTCACCAATTTTCAGTTGACCTTGGTAGTTGGTACTAATCACCTATTAATCATTTATAATAATAATTATTCGTTAGTAATTTTCTTAACTATTTGCTTATCTAGAGTGGACTACTGTCGCTCACCGAGCTGCGTGACATTTTTCTGTACAAACACGCTCCGGAAAAGCCAGCCCTCCCGTTCCCGACGGAGCCACGTAACCGCCGGTCCTTCACCGCATTGCGCACGAGGCCCACAAACGCTAAGACAGGATCTCCATCCAACCGACTAATCACGGCGGTGGCGCTGCCCAGAACCCACGGGAAGGTACCGGCAGCAGGGATCGAAAATTTGTATCCAGCGCGCCATCAAGGTTGTACAGTAGGGCTGCCAGGCGGAATCGCTTATCCACGTGCTGTAAACATAAAGTCTTCCCTGCCCGGCCAGGGAGATCCATCACGGCCGTGGTGGGGCCGCACATACGACGCACCACCGGTACAAGCTGTATCACCACCGTACTTCTCGTATGCAACGCCGCCGCCTGCAGCACCATTCCGTCCATTACCACGTGACGATACCGATGACAAGCCGACGTTATCAACGACGGATATGGAACAGCTGTTCGTTTTGCGGGTCTGATGCTGTCTAAGGAAATGTTTCTGGAGTGGAATGCTGCCAGCTGAACGTTGATGGACTAACTCCCGTTTTATCGCTTAATCTTAGAAACGGACTACGCATGACGCATGATATCATCAGCCGATGTTATAAGTATTTGTTTATTAGTTCCTGCACGTTTAAGTTCATGGTTCGGCGGCTTGAGGCACGCCCTATATGTACTTACTGCTGCTCTAAATGTATGCACTTGACTCGAGCTTTAGTGAAAATTTGACTGGAAGCGTTTTCGAAACACAACTTTAATCTGTAAGTATTTCTTTCATATCTAAAATCGCATTCTGTGTATTGTAAATATGATCAACTGGCGGTCAGAACTGAGAATCACTTCGTGAATTTAAGTGCAGTCTTTGGCCTTAAACGAGGTGACCTGGTACATGGTACAAAATTAAATTAGTGTACATACCGAAAACTTTTACTTCCTCCCCCTCCCAAACACTTTTTTGCCTCGTTTTATAGCAATCTGCAGCCAAATGATTGTATACAGCTGACAGCAGTCCCGACTCCCGATGTATAGCAGTCCCGCGGGACTACTGATTCCGCGCGGGTCCCGCCGATAACGAGTATGCTCGTTATTCTGTCATTTATTCTGTTATGCGTTAAAGTAAACAGTTTCTTCTAGAAAATATTGAGTATTTCTGTAGGATCTTGCCAGTCAGCTCGGAATGACCAACGTACGTGCGTTCCCTGCTGGGTTGCCTACTTCCTGGTTGATGTGCCGCCAGCTACATTATTATACCGCTTCCTCTACTTTAAAGGCGCTCTTCAATGTGCAGACTGTCCAGAACAGTTATTAGGGAAAGTCCTCTTTTTAAACAACGCCGTTGACATAATATATGCTACACATTATTTCTTTTGTCTGCAGAATGATTAATTCGCCATCACAATATTGACACGATATATTATTATACCATCATGTGGAGCTGCAGACCTGGGCGGTCGCCCAGAAGCACTTTTGATGAAATCTGATCTTATCCGGGGGACAGTAGGTTTAAATGATCTACTTCCGGTGTGCAGTGTGCACATTAAACAAAAACACGTTTTCGCTTTTTCTGTAGAAAGTTTCAGAAAGCAGTTCTTCGTCAGAATTCAGAGAGCTGCAAAACCTATTTACATCTTCTATTTGAACTTAGATCTCCATACCAACGCTACAAAGATATTATTCTGGCGCCACCAGCTGTCCGCAACTTTAGGAGCGATTTGCACTCGTGCACCTATAGAAATGTCGAAAACTACGATAGGATTGACGGGAGCCAGCGTACCACGGGGCAGAATTCCCGTGGTAGCTCAGCGGATAGAGCAGATATTAAAGAGTGGAGATCTCAGCGATGTACAGTTTTCCGTAGGGCGAGATTTCGGGCCAGTGAAACTCTTCAAAGCCCACAAGTAAGTTGAAGTTTTAAGTCCACTCTTTCCTCTTTCGGGCTGACGGCTTGCCTGGTGTGCAAATACGTACTGGATAAGTCGGTTAGGTATGCATGTTTTAATTATCTCTTAAAGTTTAAAATTTCATTCGGAACAAACTTTTCCGGAACCAGGAACAACAGTTACGTAGAAAGGTGCAAAATGTATGTCTATATTGTATATAGGGTACGCCTGTATGGTACCAGTGGGTTATATTTTAATTAACGACCCAATATTTGACAGGCTCGTGCTAAGCTGTGCCAGCGACGTCTTTTACACCATGTTCAACGGGAGTCTGCCTGAGAAGTGCGGCGCTGCAATTGATCTTCCGGATATTCCTCCTGAAGGCTTCGAAAATATGCTCAAGTATGTTTACAGATGCTTCGACGTCACACACATTTATAGATCATAACTCAATTTATTTAATAATGTTAAAGCGATTATTGACCGTTGTTCTTTGCGACGATTAAATTATTAAAATCACCTTGGAAAACAAATTAGGTTTTATTCTGGTTTACTAAATGAGCAAAGGTCCAAGTAACTTAAGTTCTCCATTATACGTACACATTACGTTATAGATACATCTATGCCGATAACGCAAAGGTGACATTGGGTAATGCTTTTCCGACGATGAAGTGCGCACACCAGTATGAATTGCCAATATTGGCCGACACCTGCTTTAATTTCGTCATGCGCGATCTCGTCGCGGCGGACCGCAGTGGAGCAAATACTACTAGCTATCTACTGCATCTGGAGAATGTACGTCTGCTCCTGTTTATGATTTCGTGGCTAACATTTACATAATTTCATGGTAGGCGCTGGCGTGTGCTGTTGGTATCGACAGTGTCGTGGAGAACTGTCTGCACTACGTGGATGAGCACTGTACCGGAATTCTCATGTCGGAGCGGTTTACTAAAGTGCAGCCGGACACATTGCGTGCAGTTCTGGACCGTGATACGTTGTTTACCGACGAAGACATCATCTGTACGGCTGTGAATAGGTAAGTGAGGAAATACGGTTAGATTAATAGTCGAGAAATAGCGGTTTGTCATGTGGCTTTCACGATTCCCTCCCGTTAGAAGGAGGCGGATAATTAAATACAGCCCTTGGCAACCAAGTTGGGACAGTTTTGCAACATAAATTAAAAATATCTCTGAAAGGTAATTTGTTTCTCTTTAACCTTGCACTTCTCTAGCGTAACGTTTTATCGCAAACCTAACAATACTAAACCGGAATCTTTTGGTATTTTCGTAACGACCCAAACGGAGATTAAGAGTGGCGGTGTAGTGGTCATTTCTAAGGGGTTATAACTGCCCTTCAAAACGACTGTATACAACAACAACTGTTTACAACTGTATACGTGCGGTTATAACTGCCCTTCAAAACTTTCCGCTTCCGGTCCGTCGGACGAACCATCATCCGACAGAAATGAATGATACGATATACGAATGAGTAGAAAGAGTTCTAGGTGTCAAAACTCAAAGGATGCTAGTCTGGTAGAGTGTAGACGTACATATCTTGCAAATTTATGACCCCCGAGTCGCAGACAGTTACAGGCTGTTTTTCTCGCAGGTGGGCTGTTGCTGCCTGCAAACGGAGCAATTTAGAGCCGTCATCCGCAAACCGGCGCGAGGTTCTTGGGGAACTGCTCTATCTGGTCAGATTCCCCTTACTGACCATCACTCCAGTACCTGACAAACCCGCAAAAGCAAAAGTAAGGCGATAAAACTGATCGCTTTTGACAGCCGTTCCGCGGAAAGAAAGCCGCTGCTTCGGATGCAATGAATATGAATTTTTTAATTTTGTAAAACTTCCGCAATGGCATTAAGCACGTACTGTTTTTGCTTGGTAGTTTTAATGTCTATCAGATAACGGAATACAGTTGATAGTAAAACCATTTTTTTCTTGTCGAAGTTTCGATTTTTGTTAGGGTGTATTAGACGTTACATGCATAATCGGCTTGCGTGTGTAGAGTGGATTCTCCGAGGCGTTATCGCTACTGGACATAAGCCATGACAAAGGACGATTTCCCACGCAACCCCGCCGGTCCCCCGTCATCCGTGTCGGGGAAGTGGAATTCGAGCACGGGAGGAAGTATTTGTGCCTGATAAGGACGATTTCGTTCCTGCATTAGTGATGGGATCGCGTGGCTCAGTAGCCCTTTGCCTGCCTCTGATATATGATAATGTGCATCATTACGACGACGAAGATGACGATGATGAGGATGATGATGACGGTGACGATTACGATGTTAATAAAGACCTGATGAAGGTCAACCCGGGGGATATCATTCGCCCAGCCGACTACCTAACCGCCAATCAGCCCATCGTTTACCATTATGAGAAAGCCACGTATATTAGATCGGAGGGTGATTACCATGTTATCCGTCCTTGGGATAGAGCTCGGCAGCTCATGGTTACATTCGGTAAGATTTGTTTGGGACATTCGGAGGTAATCGCGTGGAAGAAAGCGAGGGAGAACGGTATCGGGAAGGTTCAATCTGTTCCCACCCGGAAGCGTTCACTGGATGCCGTGAACTGATTGTGTTTGTACGAAGCCTGTTGTTTATGTTCAGCCGATGGATCACTGAAGGATGTCAGTGGAGCAGGTCTCAGAATAACGTTTTGCTGTGGCGCTGGTGGACCGTGGACTTACTAACTGTCTAGCTATTGACTTAAATCTGGCCTGTGCAACCACTGAATTAATATTGTCTAATGTCGCGACTGTTTACATAATTAAGCCTTTTTTAATGTACTTCTATAAAAAATTCAGCAACTGCATATTTTCTGGTATGAAAAATAGATCCTGAAGTTTAGAAAATTATAAATAAGTTGTATCTACGACCGCTGAAGCCAGTGCGCGATTGCGCAGGGTCGTTAGTAATTTGTTACTAAATTTGCGTACCATCTGTATCCTGTTTAAAATTTATAGCTTTGAAATTTACTCCGAATGTTTAATACAAAGAAACGACTTCCGGTAAACGGAAGTAGGTTTTCCATGGCACTGGTGGACGGCGACTCTGCGGGCATCGAAACCACCTGCAGGCGGTTGCTAGACGTCATACTGTCTTCGAGAATTCGCTGTAATTACACACGGCACCCTTCACTCCAAAGCCAAACAGTAGCTAATAACGTATAGGCCAAAGGGTAATTTAAGAAATCTTCTGCCGAAAATTTGCTGGGCTGAGTGAGCTCCAGAGTCAACTACTCGTATATTGGAAATCGCGTTTTCATTCAGGGCAAGTGATTCTACCATGTGTCTAAACAAGCCATCGGACACCAGTGAGGCCCCTGCCATTACTCTCAGCGCTGAACGCCGTGGAGCATTTGGAGTTCTGGATCGCATGAAACGCATGTTAGCCAGCGGGCAGCTCAGCGATATAAAGTTCGCCGTGGGACGCCAGTTTGGCACTGAGAAAGTCTTCCCCGCGCACAAGTATATTATTTTATTGCGAAAGGAATTATAAAATGTTTAATATTTAAAACTGTTAATACAAATGGAATTATAAACTGTTTAACAAAATTTCTTAATAGGCAATCAGTGTGTGTTCCCCTAATCGGTTTCCATTACAAGGTTTATCGATTTCGCTTTTGCAGGAATATTCTGTGCAACAGCAGCGATGTGTTCTACTCCATGATTTGCAACAGCGTGGCTGAATCGTGTCCGTTGGTTATTCACTTTCCCGACATTCCGTCCGACGCGTTCGCCAATCTGCTCAGTTATGTGTACACTGATTCGGTTGAAGACATCAACGCAGACACTGTTTTTCCAACAATGCACTGCGCGGACAAATTCGGTTTGCCCTTGCTGGTGGACACCTGTTGCGCTTACATCACCGAACACCTGAATGCGGATAACTGCCTGACCACGCTGGAAAACGTAAGCTCTTTATAACAATCCCTTGGATTTCGCTGCTTAATAATTAGTTGAATAATGTTTTGACCTACGCTACGATTGGTAATTAATTAAAATAATGTTCCTTCCACAGGCCAACCGTTGTGGCTCTGATCACGTTGCGATCGTGCAGAAGTGCCTGGAAATCGTGGACGCTTCCAGCGAGACCATTCTACTGTCGGAGCAGTTTAGCAACATGGGACACGACTGTCTCATGATGATCCTACAGCGTTCGTCTCTTACCGTCAACGAGAATATCGTGTATATGGCAGTGCACAAGTAAGGACTGTTACAGAATTAGCAAGCAGCAGTTAGTAGCTAGCCGGCCTTGTTACCGAATCGCAGAACAAACACCGAACACGATGCCTGTGGCCCAGTACAATACAACCCATGTCAATTTTCCCGCATTTCATATTAAAGAAATCGGCCGTTTCTTTTGCCACGGGGACGACGAGCGGGAGTACTTACATACATTTGTATGCCCACCTGTACGTCGTGTACAGTAACACTTAAAAAATTAAATTTTCACGTCCAGTTTGTGGTTTGTACAGTGTACTTTACTTAGTGATGATTAAACTCTTAATTTTGCTGGGAATTAAACATTATGATTAATTCAGTTAAAATTATGGCAATTTTGATTATGCTGAGCATAGCAAATTGCGCATTGCGTTATTTAAGCATAATGTTGTAAGCGTCAATTTTAATTATACTTAAGCTTAATTCTGAGTCAAATTATGAACAATATAAATAGCCTGATCAAAAGAAAACTGAATTTTAATTATGATAGGCAAAATTAAAATTGGACAATTTTAATTTTGCTCCAGTTTAATTAAAATTGTTGAATTTTGATTATGCTGATCATAATTAAAATTGATCAATTTCCAATTATGATAAGCTTAATCAAAATTATAAGCAAAATAATTATGATGAGTTTAATATTCACTAACTTTACTGCTGTGCGACCTTTGGGTGGATTTGCTGGGCACAATTCGGTTTCTTCGTCGGCGCAAACGACTTATTCAGGGAATAAATTTATTTTCAGTAATTTTCTGTAGTCCTCCGTAATTTACTCATAATTTATCTTTAAAAGTGCTTCAGAGACAAACCAAAAGATTTTTTTTCCGAAAAATCAAATAAAATGAGCATGGTATTTTTTCTTTTGATTTTCGTCACAAAATCATCAGGTTAGCCAGTAGCTACATTACATTACCGCGCTGGGCGGTTGTTATTGTGTCAAGCGCCGGAAGTACTTGAATTCCTTTCATTTCCATATTTAAGTATAGAAGTTTTCCTGCAATATAAATAAAATAAGGTTGGAAACGATTTCCCCAGGAAATCAGGTCACCCAAAGGAAGTGGCTTGGTGTGTGTTACGATCTAGTATCTAAGGTAAAAGTATTGTACCGATTTTTATGTTTTCTTATTGTGCGCTTTCCTGGCAGTGAACAGGGCGAGTGCATGTTTGCTTTTCTCACTACGTTGCGTGTAGCGCGCATCAGTTTGTTTTCCATTGGGTGCTGATAGATGGGCCATAAAGACTTGTCAAGAACGCAAAATAGAACCGTTCGTCGTCAACCAGCGCAAAGTCCTTGGTGAGGCGCTCTTTCTCGTCCGTTTTCCGCTCATGAACGATGTGGAACTCGCAGTGGGACCGGTCCAGGTGAGTTTATTGTTATCACAACATTAAGTATCCAACTAGGGACAGTAGCCAACTCCTTCAAATGGAGATTTCGTACCAGGCTTTTGGAAAATTTTTTGGTTAGATTAGAAAATTTTATACTTTCTTGGTTGGATTACATGAGTTCAACGTAACCTAACCCGAGATAAAAGTCATGTGCTCTGTCATTTGTTATCACAAATATTTCACAGATTTTTAGTTTACCTTAGTAGCTAGTTCTAAAAAGTAATACAAGTAATAATAATTTACAATACTTAGTGATTAATTATATTTAACTATTTGCTGTTGGTTACTAGAGTGGACTATTGTCGCTCACGGAGCTCCGAGAACTCTTTCTGTACAAACACGCACCGGAAAAGCCAGCCCTCCCGTTCCCGACGCAGCCACGTAGCCGCCGATCCTTCACCGCACTGCCCACGGGGCGTACTAGCACTGAGCCAGGATCTCCATTCAACCGATTACTCACGGCTGTGCGGCTGTCTGCCCAAAATGGAGATCCCCCGAAGGGTGCGGCGGTGTCCAGTATCCCTGGGACGATACCGCTACTGGAGAAGGGAAATTATTTGTCATATCTAGGGCCGACAGGCTGCCCAGTAGGGCTATAGCCCTACTGGATAGCTTACCCGAGGACATCGCTCGTCCACGTCCTGTTAATCTTTTCCAGCGCAGCCACCGAGGTCAATCACGGCAATGTCGGATCACCACGTACAATGCGCCACAGGCACCAGTTGTACAAGCTATACCGCCACCGTACTTTCACGAAGTACCAGTTGCGCTACCGTCCTATCCGTACGGCGATAACGGTACCGACAACAAGCGGTTAACAGACGATAAACCGACGTTGTGGAGGCCGACGGGTTTGAAATAGGGGTTCGCTTTGAGGATTGGATGCGGTTTAAGAAAAATGTTTCTTGATTGAAATGATGCCAGCTGAACATCGGTAGAATACCTTACTTTGACGGCCAGATACGGAATGTGACAATGCGTATACATGTCTAGTTATCATGAAGTATCACCAACCCACGTTAATACCCATTCTTTATTGGCAGTTCCAGGCAAATCGGTCATCGTGTTAAAACCTGAATTTAAAATCAAAAGCTCATTGGTGTTGTATTCATATTTTGCTTGAGTATTACCTATTTTAGTAATCGCGTTTTATTTGTACTGTGTGCATGACAGACTGACAGTGGGATTCGATTCGTGGATTTGATGTTGTCTGGAACGAAAGAACAATATATCAGGTAGCAATTTTTAATTTCTTTGAAGGTTAATCTCATATGTTCAAAAATGCTTTGAACGTAATTTTGATCAAGCGGTCCTATGTTTTCTTTACTGTCCATCATCCATGTATTAAGTGCTGCATTTAGCCATGTTTGAAATCTCATGTTACTGATGTTAGTATGCTACCCTAGCCGGAAATGGCCCATCTAATCCATGAATAATGATAATAATAATAGAAAATACTGTCAATGATAGCAAAACGATACTGCGGAAGATGAGAAAGCTGTATCAAAAGCGGCGTGCCCGGCTTGGACCAAGCCGGGCACGCCGCGTATTCTTAGTAAGCGGAAGCGCATTTGCTGATTTTTCTAACGAATTCGACGCAGTGGACAACTGGAAATCTGTACAGTACACGAAGTTTTTTCAGTTTCGGCTACGTAGTTATACGAGTAGTTTGCTTATTTTTGGCACCAGAATTTGTTTGAAAGTTTTAATTAATACTAAGCCTTCGATTCGCTTTCCTCATTCATGTTAAAGGAAGCCGATTTCCTTAACCGGAAGTATCGGGCTTCCAATTAACGATTATGTAAAAACATATTGTTAGCCGCCTGCAGGCGCTCGCTACGCGTAAAATTATTCGCACAGTCGCCGTTAATCGCACTGAGACATTCCACAGTCCACACTGCTGAGACACCACGAGTAGTGATAATTTCATAAATTTTGCTCACTGTCAGACATCTACTCTGTAGTTGATTTTGTCTATCTGTAGAATCAGAATTTCAGTAAACATTTATTTTCATGGCAAGTTATTCTACCATGTGCTTAAACTCACCAGTGGAGTCCAGTGAGACTCCTGCCGTCACTGTCAGCGCAGAACGTCGTGGCGCTGTTGGAGTGCTGGATCGTATGAAGCGCATGCTGGCCAACGGAGAACTCAGCGATGTGCAGTTCGTTGTGGGACGCAAATTTAGCCAAGAGAAAATCTTCCCCGCGCACAAGTATAATTCCATTTCCAAATGAATTACTATATAATCTGAATAATATTATTCGCACACATGGAAAAATGTTGGTTGGGTTTCCCTGGCAAAGTGAACTGGTTTCGTCTTTGCAGGAATATTCTATGCAACAGCAGCGATGTCTTCTACACGATGATTTCGAACAGCGTGGCTGAATCGTGTCCGTTGGTTATTCACTTTCCCGACATTCCTTCCGACGCGTTCGCCAACCTTAGCCTACGCGATCCCGAAACATTTTAAGCCAGCCTTCCATATTTAGTAAGGCTTGCGGCTGCGTGATGTCGTAGAACGGTCGTAGATGCTCCACTAGCTGCATCCCGGTAATAACTGTGAAGTAACAAGGATTATTCCTTTGGTTGCCTCTAGAACAGCTTCAACTTTTTTTGACAACAAAAACGGTCTGACAAATGTGCATACCAGTGCTACTTACGCATCACAAACGGCTGGATTTGTTACTTGTCCCGATGTATCCCAAATTCGCACCTATATGCATCGGCAGGAACTCAGAGCATGAAAACAAGTGAATGGTTAGAACCCAGTGTCCCATTCGTCACTACGGTCATTTACAAAGTGCATCCACCATCCTGCCGGACATCGGCAGGAAGGTACACGTTCCGCAAAACTCACCTTGTTAATCCTCCCGTTAACATTGAAGATCCGCGTGCTCGCCTCCACTCCTTTGGTGACCATTGGGTGGGCGGTGAAAGTATTACGCGTTAACCGCGACACCAGACTAGTTTTACCCACATTATTGTCGCCGAGCAGGGCAACATTTTCACGTATATGATTACGGGTTCTTCCATGCAAAAGTGGTCTATACAACTCATATTTTGGTGTTGAAAAATTAGCTTTATTCAAGAAACTCTGTATTTTAAGTAAAAATACGCAAGATCTGTCAAGGGACTCCAGACAGTTAGAGCAGACCGGTCGGTTAAAGGAAAATCAGCGAATATTGAGCAGAGCTTCACATATTGAACGCCTGGCTAGAAACCGGCGCATCTCGTAGGCTGTATATGCTGCCGTGAAAGCTGAATACTAGTGCTTAAGCTGGGCACTTACAGAAAAAAAACGTACGTGTTGAAATGACACAGGTTTGTACTTATATCACTGTCAGTTATAATTATTATGTACTAGAGTATGTTTTCCATGGTCTACAATTGTGTCTGAAAGTCAAAAGCCGTCGGTGTTACTGCATATCGCTTGCTGACAGTGCAAACGATTACTTCGTGTTCCCGCAGTGACTTTGAATGCCAGAATCCGTCGGCATAAATTGCTTGTTGCCTGCATCTTGCCTGTATCTTGCCTGCTTGCTATCGCACCTGCTTTCCATTGTCCATTGTCAGACGAAATGGTCCAGATTTCTTAACAAACAGAACACGTATTAATGTTGGCTCTTCTGGGTGAAGGTCGTATCATTCTTCACTGTAATACTCCTCTTGCGCGCCGCGGCTACCCTTGCTCTCGTGCAGATACTGCTGCAGTGCCATTGAAACTCGGTTGGGCGTTTGCCGTCAGTTCATGATACATCACATGGTTCAGTTCCGCTTCTACTATTTTTTTTCGTGCCTCGAAAACCTACTTCCGAATTGCAATGTTCATTATTTCTCAAATCAAAGGCGCTACTAACAAAGCGGATCGAAAAGTCGATCGGGAGAGCAAGTCTTCCATGACTCGGAATTCCAGGATGGAACGTGCAACCGGAAGTAATGCTTCATGTGGTGCAGTCTGAGGCACTTATACCGTTTAATATACGAGCATGCAATGTAAAACCGGAAGTCAGTACCCATTAGTCTATTACAAATTAGACAGTGGTGCTAACTGCTAGCAAGCAGTTAGTACATAAAGATACTGTACATTAAAACTGCGCACGCGCGCGAGACATTCTGTTTGGTTCAGTTTTTGCAGTATTAAATCGGAACATTTGCTATAGTTTTCTTGTTATACATAAGAACCGGTACCTTTGAATGAGTATTCCCAATGAGTAAGGTTATCCATAACTTCCAGAAGGCAACACGTGGTAACGTACGTAGCTGATAATGACGTCAATACGCAAACGTTAAATTGTCCCTTCTGGAGATACAGTCGCTGAATGCCAGTCAATTTTGCTTCTTCAAACCAAGCAGCTGGGAAGCTAATTACTGTACGAGTACTCAGTTAAACCAGCAATTACTAATTTACTGTATCATACGTAATTCACAAATAAATTATATACTCGTATGACATGTTATCAGTTATCTGCTAAAGTTGTACTGGAGAGCAACACGGTTCGGACGGAAAAACTGTTTTGTGATGCGCTTGTCTATCAGTTGGTGCTCTTGACTTTAAGGTGCGTCTACCATTAAGGTGCACGCTACGAAGAATCAGGCAAAGACGCAACTTTGAAACGGCAGTCAGCGCGAATAAGTGCTGGGCTGCGCTTCTTTGTTTTCCGGTTTTAAACAAACGCCAGTGATCAAGGCGCAGTAAACTTTTACGCTTAGAAGAAAAAGCGTTTGCGTTTGTGAACGTTTTGAGTTTGACTGGTTGGCTGTCATGGACAGTTTCTTTTAAACCGTGTCTGTCTTCTTTAATGATGCATATTGCGAATTTGAAATCACATTTAGGTACATCTATACAAATCAGAAACGCGTGACATTAGAGGATGTTTTCCCCACGATGAACTGCGCCAACCGATACGATCTGAAACCGTTAGCCAATTTCTGTTTCGATTACGTGATGCTGGATCTCAACGCGGAGAGCGTCGGTGCTGATCGCTGTTTGCAGCACTTGGAGAGTGTATGTCGGTTTCTTCTGACAGTCTTGTTGGTACTGACAGGGTTTCTGCGGGATTTAGGCGATGACATGGAGTGCTGACATCGACAACAGTCTGGTGGAGAACACTCTCCATTATGTCGATGTTCACTGCAAGGACGTCTTCCTGTCCGAACGGTTTATTCAGTTGAAATTCACCACACTGCGGCTGATATTGGAACGTGATACGTTGTTGGCTGAAGACAGTGTCATTTGCAAGGCAGTCGATAGGTAAGTATCAGACATGGGCAGTTATTTTTAACGAATTAACGTAGCGCGCGGTATTGGGTTATAACGTAATGTTGAAACGTGACGCTGCTAAAAACAGAAGTACCTGTATTTCACAATGTAGCATAGCGTGCAAAATAACGCGAAACTCGGTTTACTTGTGTAAATTGCGTAACTCGTAGCGAAACGCGCACGCTCCCTGGAAAGCGTAGCGCTAATTGTGGGCAGTGGTCCCATAACGCCAAGTCTGGTAAGTATTAAAGCCAGCAAGACAACTTTTTTTCAGAAATAACGAAGCTACACGAACAAAATAAGCCAAGATATTATCAAGGTTAAAACACATTGGTAAAGAATTGCAGGAAATCAGAGTAGAAGTTTGATATCAGGCTTATCAGCGTGTATTACTGTAGCCGCTCGCTTGAGTTATACCACACAGTTGGTGTACGGGAAAAATGCGCATCAAATATACATACTCTGGCCGGGCAAAATGCACGATTCTTATTTACCGTGCTTCTGTAACTTTTTCTGTTACATTTTTCGATCTGATCTATCTGAAATTTAAAAAAACTTATCATTCTAAAATTTGACACCAAAATAAGGCCATAAACTTTGAGTTTTGATGTATGAACGAGTTTAGCAGCTGATTTGTTGTGGTTTTTGGGGTGCCCCTGGAAGGGGGAGGCACATTGAGCGACAGTATGCTGGTGCCTGAAAACTGATCGTTCCTGTGGAATACAGTGCGGTTTGTCTAAGAAATATTAAAATTGAAAAGAGAAAGTTATCACCTTAAAAACTGATGGACAATATTCTCAGAATAAACGTCAATGAATTTACAATCGCGCTGGTCCGTGCATTTGGCCCGGCCAGCGTGTGTATATTGGTGCGCATTTTTCCCGTACACCAACTGTGTGGTATAACTCAAGCGAGCGGCTACAGTACTGAAACGGTACAACAGTTCGAGTACGGTATGGAAGCAAAGGGATGCTGGTGAACATAACATACCCTGCACGATTGGGCTGCGCTGAACACCGGCTCGCATTTATACTTTCGTTTCTCCCGACAGCAGCTCGTCATAAATGCCTTAATTTTAGGGGATCGCTATGAGATGACTTTCAAGTTACTACTGAAGCAGTCTTCACATCGGTTAGTAGAGAATTTCACGGGCTTTCGAACAACGTGATACAGTTACGACTTACGTTAACGTGTGGGGTGTAAAACAAGTATCTAGAACAAGCTGTGACAATTCGCGACGTCACGGATCTAGTGGGAAAGCTGTGACTTGTCACACTCAGGGCAGCTTGCCGATGTGTCGTGTCACCTGCAACCATGGCGACTAAGAGATGGTTTTTTTTCGTAGATGGGCCGTGGCTCTTTGCGCGCGTAGAAACTGGCGGCCTTCCCCTGCTAACCGGCGCGATGCACTGGGGGAACTCTTCTATCTGATCCGATTCCCCGTAATGGCGGGCATGGACCTCTTCGGTCTCCCGGCAGACGTAAGGAGCTTGATCCAGTAGACGTTGGTTTGGAAATTTATATAGAATTAATTAGTTCAAGAAACGCGGCTTATCTCTTTTTGGGCACAGCCATGTGGTTTCTGTCTTATTTAATTTTCGAACTGGAATAATTTTGGATTCAGTTTCTCGTGAGTCGTGACGTGACCTTTTGATTGCTTTGCTGTTAGCGGAATTAATTTGTCACTTAATTTGGTAATTTTCGTTGAAGGCGTTAAAGGAGATCCGCCATCACCCCCACCGTTTTAACACCCAGCCCCGCCGGACTCCGATTATCCGTGTCGGGGATATGAAATTCAGGGATAAAGAAGAGGTCTTCGTCGAGCGGGCGGAGAATTGGTGTCCAGCGGTTGTTATTGGAGCACGTGACTCCCTGATCCTGTGTATGATGCGCAGTAACAACAGCAACCAGGTGGCTCACATCAAGCCGGAGAAAGTGCTTCGCGCATCGGCCATCCTGGCACTTAATCAGTTTGTTCTCCATTCCGGGTCCGGTGCTGTGGACCAGTATAAAGTGGCAAAGTACGTGCGGGATGATGGAGATCACCACGTCATTAAATTGGGTCGTAAAGAACAACACGTCCAGTTCAGTGAGATCTTCCTGCAACATCTTCGCGTGAAGACATGGAAAAAAGCCAATGAGAAGAGCGCGAAAGTGGAGAATTCCAAGGCCCCCGCGAAAAAGCGTGCACGGGATGATGCTGACTTGACGTGAGCGCTTCGCTTTGACGGTATTAGGCATACCGGGTGTTGGGACTTGTTTGTTTTGGTTTCGGTTACGTTACATGGTGGTTCTGCGTTTCTCAAATGATGGCGAGGAGAAAATCTACAGATGAAAGTGGAATGGGAAGACTGTCGCCACGAAGCAACAGCGGGTGACTGGTGATTTAATGCTGCTGGTGCATAATGAACATTCTTTAATTTTGTACTAGAAAGACAGTCGTTTGTACATTGTGTTGTACAGTAGTTTTAAATTGGCAGACTGATGATACTTGCTTTCTAATCAGTTCAAGAAGTGACAGAAGTGATATTCCAAAATAGTTGTACGGCTGTCATGAATACTCGTACTGCCAATGTGTCTGCCAATGAATACTCGTACCGCACAATGTGTCTGTTGGTTAGTGAAATCTGGCTGAGTGGCTGTACAGAGTACTGAAATTAATAAAGCTAAAGGGACGTGATTTGCGTCGAATTGCCGTCGCAGAACTGCAGTATTTTATCTGGTTTGAATAGACACGAACTTTAATGAACGTAAACCGGAACGCAAATTTAGTAAACATTGCTACAACGGATAACAAGCATCCTCATCTAGAGATCCAGGAAACAGTGGCCGACATAATGTCTACTGCTGCCACCAATACTCTGTATACAATACTCTTGCTGTTTTTGTTCATGCTGACTGAAGTTGGAGAGATTCTGTTGGGTGATACCATCAGACGCAACCAATATTTCCCATCAGTCTTAAAAATTCACCGTTTGCCCTACACCAGACCCATATCACAGGGGAAAGAGGAATGTCCGGGACTGAATCATGTCGAATTGAGTGTACCAGCGAAGTTCGCATCGATAGTCGGGAAACTGGGGCTGCAGTGGTTGGTCTGGGTCTCTGAGATCGGCGGTAAAAAGCCATTTTACTGAAGTCATGTGGATGCATGAGATTTGGAAAATTGTGCCTGGTTTCGGAATTATGTAAAAGTTATTGAGTGATTTCAGAAAGTGTGACTCAAGTTCATAATTCTAAATTCACTGTAATATTATAATTTTACATGATGGAATGTGATTTAGGAGTACCGATTAATACCAAGTGGTCTCGCAGATCATGAAAACTTATGGTAACAATCATTGTTCCTAATTTGCCTTTATATATCGAGAAATGGGGCGGAAAAGTTTACTTCCGGGTATGCTGAGAAATTGTGGCGGCCTGCTTGTTGCGGTGGTGCCGCTTTTGGGTTTTTCTAATGTTTCGCTTGCCGCTGTTGCTTAAGTCATCTGCCTCGTAGCGTGTTACCGCGGCTGCTAGTGCGCACTTTTGGTAATTTAATCACAATGACAAAACTATTCTTTTTCTGAGGGAACATTCTTGGATTCTGTGGCGGAGTTCAGTTACCGTCCGTTGGGTCTTTGAGTTGCCGGTGTGTTCCACTCCGCATCCCATCGGTATCGTTCTCGTTTGCCTGCGTCATGTTACACTGTACAGTACATTTTTTCACGCACGAAGAAACAGAATCTGCAGTACTACCAATGTCGAAGCTCATTTCCCGGAATTTTTAACTCGCTTCTCGTTAGGTACATAAACGATAGTTCAAACAAGTTGTCACTTACTGGACTGCATGTTTCTTGTTCCTGAGGCCCCGGAAATACGTAAGTAAATGCATCAGCCCGGTGGTGGTAGCTTGTAGACCATGTTCGACGCTTACCTATCTACCGCGCCACCACGCGCAAATGATACGGCTTCGCTAATTGGACATTACAGCATACTCGAGCGGTTTACGCCTCGGTGGACATTGGGCTGTCTATGTCTGTTAACTGTCATCATCCATCCAACATAAAAGTATAGTTGTGAGCGGTCGCCATGGCGTGCTGTCTTTATATATGCCAATCTCGGGCGGGCAGCGACGTGATTGCATGATCTGCTTTCGGTGGGTACCAAAACGTATTGTACTCTACTCTGCGCGTGAAGAAAATTTGTACGCTATGAGCAACACAGGAATCGTGAATGCGCTCGTACAAATCCGCATGGCTGCACTGCACAAGTACAAATATTCAGCACACAACAGCGTCGGGGATGCTCATAACGAGAGGTGTTCCGGAACAAGGCGGAAAAATTCGTAGAACGAGAGGAATACTGGCGTTCTGCTGCTGTGATCGGAGCACGTTGCTCGGCGGCCTTATATCTATCTATGCGCGCTAAACCGCTTTAGCAGTTGCGCCGGTCCGGACTGGAGAAAATATTGCGTGCTTCGGGTATCTTGACTATCGGTCAGGACGCTCTGTTTCCATTGTACCATTATCCAAGCATCTATATGGCAGCAGAGGGAAGCTCTCTCAAGCCAGAAGAAGACGGCAACGTCGTCAAAGTGACCGGCGAGAAAGAATAACTTTCCTTTAGTAATACAGTATTGTCCTACAACTCCTCGGAATGCCCTTGCATGAGGTCTTCACTTGGAGCGGTACTATGGTCAGCTTCTGGCTATATCTATGATGGTTCATCCATTCTCAAGCGGTAGGTGGAGAAAAGCTAATGAATGTTAAGAATGAAAATGGACCTATTAAAATCGTCTTCACACGCAAATGTTCGCTGGAAGCTGAGTGGCCTTTCGTTGAGCTGGTAATATTGTAATATGCTACTGCGCATGTTGAACGGTCTATTTTTTACAGCAGGAAGAAGGCAGATAAATAAATTAGAGCAGAATTCATAAGTTGCTGGTTACGCTGATAGTTAGTGTTGGTGCAACTCCCGCCGCTACAGTAGCAGCAAACTTATGATCTCAGCAAAATTACAGAGTCTGTAGAGCTTGTACTAGACACTCCACGGTGACGATAACGGTGATAACTCACTACAAATTTTACTTTGCGTCTATCGTTATCGTAGTACTCAGCGAACAAACAATTTCGTACGATGGCGAATACCCGTAACGATATCCGATCGTCTTAGTGTGTCTAAACGCTGTATTAGATCGTGCATTGATGTCTTTCTTGGCAGAGACATGTTCTTCCATGTTGTACAATACAGGCAAACGTTTGTTAACGAGCTATTTTATTGCGCTTTAGTTGTTTAAGCCTAACTCTTCAAGAAGGGGTTCGAATACTGGTTGCCACTCTGGTGCAAGCGAAGTAGGTATTTATTGTTAGTCATTTTTGTGATACAGTACCAGTAATCATCGGTAAACACTGCGATAGAGGCGTCCTTTAAATGTGAACCAAATTACGAAATCATGCTTTCGATGGCGGAATGCAAGTGAGAATTCCCTGGTTGAGGTACACCGGTAGCGGAAATACCAATAAGAAAATTTTCTTGTGGTTTCTTGACTGTTTTAATTATGAGCCTAAAAAATTAAAGTCTGTTTAAAGAAATTATTTTCGGCGTAACAGCCTCTCTGCGAAATGTCTCGCCATCGAAACGACATTGCAAGAAAATGTCTCGCGGCGTGATGTCCTGTCGACTAAATGTCCCGCGATCCAGCGTTGCGCGGCGAAATGTCTGCGACAAGAAGTTCCGCGACTTGTTGTCCTTGGCGAAATGTCGCGGTGCCCACTTGCAAGCGGTAAGGTACCGTGGTTTTGCAGGCACACTCGAGCGCCTCACACTCTATCTTCAACTCCCTGCAGGGAGTGAGTGAGTGGACGTTGGTGTACAGTGTAATGACTCTAATCCACAGTCCGGAACTGAAGTCATAGGCGGTCGCCCAGCTGAGCAGTTCTGATGAATGCGGTTTTTGTGCGGGCGGCAGTTTGCTTCGGCACGTGCTTCCGGTGTACGCTGAAGAATGTATTGGTGTGACGCTAGAACCAAAGATTTCAGTTTCACGTTCTTTGTTTTCCGTATGCACTATTCTGCACTCTGCAGCGGGTTATTGACGCTAAGCAGCTCTTGACGTCTGCAACAGTTCTAAAAATAATATTCACACCTTTTCGTTTCGTCTTGACGCTTTCTGCCTTTGGCTAGTTGTTTTTGTTGCCGAATTTAGAGTTGCGTGTGGGTAAATGTTCCTGGAAACTTCATGAAGGCATCGATTCTGTGATCAACCCCGTATTACGTATACATCAGTCCGGAGAACAGGCGCATATCTCACGGTTTCTGACAACATGTCGACGACTACTGCGCGGGATACAAGATCCAGTGTTCCACCACGGGGAACGATCGACGGGGTGGACAAACGGATGGACCAGCTGCTGCGGAGCGGAGACCTGTCCGATGTGCACTTTTTAGTGGGGCGAAATTATGAGCTTATCAAGGCTCACAAGTAAGCTGATGTGACATTGTGATCCCACTCTTATGAATTGCTAGTGGATGCCGATGGTGAGACTAGTGTGAACCGGAAGATGATGCGTGATTTCTTCAGGTTGGTGCTGAGCAGCGGTAGTGATCTGTTTCACGCAATGCTCAATGGGCCCGGCAGACTGCATGAGTTGCCTGGCCACGCGATTGTGGTTCCGGACATTCCTCCTCTAGCTTTCAAAAATATGCTGCAGTGAGTAAATAGCACGGAGTTTTTTTTTAATTTGGCTAGTCAGCCAGTACGCAATGACAATAAGCCTGCGCAGATTTACACTAATTAGAATGATTAAACTATGCAGTTTGATCGGTTTTGCATGAAGGGAGTTTTAATTTTGTTATGAAAAAAAAAATCAGTTTTGTCAGGGCGGGCTTATGATTCAGCCCTTCTGTCATTGGTTGGTTTTGGTTTTTTTCCTGTCTGGGCACTTTCATGCGTTTTGATGGCTCTGTAAGGCAGCGCAGCTGCCTACAGAGACCAGTTGGTTCTTGGCTTGCGCGCAAAGCGCGGTGTGTGTCAGATTTCGGCATTAAAGCCTTCATCCGGGTTTGCTTTTGTTTCGCCGTCGATGGTCGATGCGCGCCTAGTCAGCGCCATCTGATAGTTTAATAGCCGTTTTAACTTGGAAAATTCACCAGGTATACGGTTTTTCGGCTTGAGCTCTGATTTTCAAACATTACAAATCACGACAGATACCTGTACACCAACGAGAAGCGTCTCACTGTGGAAAATGTGTTTCCGACGCTGAAGTGCGCCGACCAGTACCAAGTGCAGCAGCTGGCCGACCACTGCGTGGACTTTATCCTCACGGATCTCCACCGCGGCCCCGACAACTGTTTCCGATATATAGAAGACGTACGTGATGATAGAATTAAGTAATTGCACTGCTACGGAGCATTTGCTGCTGTTTACGTTTACACCACTCCTGTAGGCGGTATCGTATGGCGTTAAGCATGAAAATATCGTGGAGAATTGTCTGCACTTCGTGGATATACGCTGTAAGGACCTCCTCCAGTCGGAACACTTCGCTAAATTGGAATACGGTCCGCTGACCCTGATTTTGAAGCGTGACACTTTGTTTATGGACGAGACGCTCATTTGCGCGGCTGTCAATCGGTCCGTACGCACAATATTCCGGTAGATTTTCCTGTTTGCTGCAGAAATAGTACAGATAGAAGTGCTCAATAAGAAGAACCTGACAAGAAATGAATAAGGTCCAAATCCAAAATAATAAAGGATACAGCATACAGAATCTCTCGTTACCAGCACTTAAAAGTGAAAGTCTTCTGTTAGACTGTCTGGTTAAAACGCTCTAAATTTTACAGTTAACCATGATACGGTTTAGTAAATAATGCTACTTGCCACACTAGAGGGTAGCTCATCAACATGTGTCGGAGAAGGTCTACACTGGCAGTTGCCGACGTGATTATGTTTGTAGGTGGGCGGTGGCTGTTTGTGCGCGGAGAAAGATGGAACCTTCGTCTGCTAACCGTCTCCAGGTCCTGGGAAAACTGTTGTATCTGATACGATTCCCAGTGATGACGAACCAAGAAATTGCTGACTTGCCTGCGGAGGTAGGCGGTAATTACTGTACCCATCCCGTGCTTCATCTTTTTCGGTGTAGTGCAGTGGCTAAAGCGCTCTCGTCAATGATTTCTTTGCGAGGCAGTTGCTAGGAGACGGTTCAAGATCTTTTTAAACTTTACGTACTCTGAAAGGTGTATCATATTTAATCGGGTTAAGAAATGGATCGAAAGAAAACCGGTTTCTGGAATTGAAGATTTCGGGTGGTCGTCTGTTGAAGTTTGATTTGAAAGATAGCAATTGTATTCCAGTTAGTGTACGTACTTAATTTCAACTTCACATGGTGTAACCACAAAGGTATCTGTTTGATTACTTGGATGGCCGAACGCTGCGCGAAATAAGTATAGCATGTAGCTTTTACAGGTTTGTTTTGATCCCCGTTTAATTACCAAAATTTTGATTGTGTAACGTTGCAATAATTGGTTCATCAATGCACGTTTATAGTTCCGATGGTTGGAGGCAGCAGCAACGAAGGAGATGCAGAAAAATCGCTTTCCCAAACAGCAGCCCCGGCGCGCCCCGGTCATCCGTGTCGGTGATGTAGAATTCCGTCATAATGAAGAAGTCTTCGTGAAACGAGATGACAAATGGCATCCTGCTGTGGTGATCGGAACACGTGGATCGGCGGTCGTCCTAATGTGTAATGAAAGCATCCAGAAGGTCGTCCCGGAGAATATCGTTTGCGCGGCGGATATCCTTACAGCCAATCTGCTGGTTCTTCATCCCGATCCTGGCTTTGTGGACCTCTACAAGGATTGCAAGTATGTGAGGTTGGAAGGGGGCTATCATATCACTAAATTCCGCAACGGCAGGGAGCAAAAAGTCAAGTTCAGTCAGATTTTTATTCCACATTCCCGAGTGGAAGCGTGGAGGAAAGGCAAGGAAAAGAGTGGCAACGGTAGTACGAGGAAACGTTCATTGGACGTCGCTGGACTGATGTGAACTGTTGACTGTGGCTCTGTTGTAAGTACCGAGCGTTATTAGAACGTGCTGTCGTTGTTTCGCGAGATACTGTAATGGTTCTTCGATTCTCGAGTGGATGCGTGGAGAAAGCCTCAGAAAGGATACTGACGAGGGAGCGAATGGGAAGAGTACGGGTATCCACAAGAAAAGGTCTCTTTACTGGTGACTTAGCGCAGCTGGTGCATATTATCTTGTACTTCATAGTTGACCGTATAGGTTTTTGTACAGTACTGTTGTTAAAGTTTTAACCTGGCGAGATTCGCTACACTTTTTGTTACCAGTGTGAGAAATTTTTTGGTATAAGTCAGAATGCAAAACGATGTGTACATAAGTTCAAAAAATGTACAGTTAGGTTGACAATCATGCTACCGTATGTCTACGGGCTAATAAATTCTGGGTGTAGTGGAATGGTTTAAACTTGGCATGTCCTGAACTGGTAAAGGCAAGGAACAATTTTCGAAATACATATTGCCAGCAGACCCTACAGTAATTCATTCGGTTTGCATAGAATGATAGAATTGTTTTAAGTTTGTTGAACGGGGATAATAGTTGTTCAAATAATGGACGGAATACAGGTCCAAATATACGTATGAAGACCGAACACCAAAAGACAGTTACGAAACTAAAAGTGTGCATTCTTATTTAAGGGAAACGGTAACGCAAGTTTTACCGTCCCTCGAGATCCCGACAGGTTCCGCTTCGCAGGCATCGTTCCCGTAACGGGTCATGAAGCAAAAAATACATTCCAATTATTTTTCCGATCCCGTTAAGGGAAGTGACCGGATACAAGGAACAAAACGCGTTTATATGCGCTATATGCACACGAATTTTCGTTTCGCGCACTCCCAAATATCGTTTCGTTGTTTTATGATGTTCTGTAGCCAGATGATGTATAACCACTGGCATAAAAGCCGTTTATGCGCGCCACATCCGGTTAGGGAGTTTTTATGAGCTCAAAAGTCCCGAGCGTCTGGTCTACCAAATGAGTAGAGCCGATATTTCCCCCTTTTCCTCGACGAAAGCGTACTTTCTCCGCCGCGGCCAAACATGGCGCAAGAGTACACCTTGGTCTGTCTATCCGACATGCAAAGTCGTCTCGGGGGCGGTCGCCAGGAGCGGCGTTCTCATACAACCTAGCCTCGTGCGAGAAGCGGTTATGCAACTGTTCTGCTTCCGGTGGGTTATGCTTCGTAACGCGTGCACTCTGTACCGTTCACTTTGCACCCCAGAACAGGAACTCTGTTTCAGCACAACAAATTAGCAGATTTTGAGAAATCTGCAGCAGGTCTTCTGTCTTCGTCAGAACTTTGATATTTATTCTCATGTTGTTGTAGTTTCAAGTTACCGAGGCCATACTTTGAACTGTTTCTGTCTTGTTGAATTGTCATCAGTGCAGAGAGCAGCGACGGCGAAGCATCGTGAAATCGCAGTACGAACTTCACGGAGTCATCAGATCCATCTGAGATTCGTGTTGATACGTCAACAGTATAGGAGCGCAGTCCATTTCTGACATGTCGAAAACTGTGCCGCGATCGACAAAAGCCAGTACCCCACGACGGGGCCAAATTAAGGGGCTCATTAAGCGAATGGAGCAGATTCTGAACAGTGGAGATTTGAGCGATGTGAAGTTCTCAGTAGGGCGAGAGTTCGGACCAGCGAAAATCTTCCGCGCACACAAGTACGTTTCCGATTGAATTATCCCACTGTTATCAGGTTTACTAGATATTACTGCGCAACAGATTGATGCGAACTTGTACTGATCCATAAATTAATAGATTCATGCTAAGCAACGCCAGTGATGTCTTCTTCACCATGTTTCACGGGAGTCTGCCTGAGAAATGCGAACGTGCCATTGAAATTCCAGAATTTCCTCCTGAAGCGTTCGAAAATATGCTGAGGTCAGTAAACTCTTCGAAATTTCTTGTAGCTTGATAAGTTTTGTATTCAACTTTATACCCAGAAAAGTTCATCAGTAGAAAGCAGCTTCAAAAGTAGGAACTAGGAACGCCTTTAGTGTTTACGCTTTTGAACGCAAATTAAGCTAGTTTGCGAAAAAACGGTTCGAAAATATGGTTCATCTTGACAACACGTGCAATACGGTAGATACATCTACGCCGATGAAAAGCGTGTGACAGTGGAAGATGTCTTTCCGACGATGCAGTGCGCCGACAAGTACGACTTACCACTGTTGACTGACTTTTGTCTGGATTTCGTCTTGAAGGATCTCACCGGCAACGGTCGTGCTGATCGCTGTTTACTGCATATGGACAATGTATATCTGCTCCTGCTGCTAGGTTTTCGGCATCTAATGAGTTTCAGCACCTGATTTGTAGGCGCTGACTTGGGCTGTTGGCATCGAAGGTGTCGTGGAAAACTGTCTTCACTTTGTGGACGTGCACTGCAGAGGAGTTCTCCAGTCGGAACGGTTCGCTGAATTGCAGCCCAGCACGTTGCGCTTAATTCTGGAACGCGACACGCTGTTTGCGGAAGAGAGCCTCATTTGCAGGGCTGTGGATAGGTAAGCAAGCAAGTGTGGCAAGCAAGTGTGGCCGGTTACGTAGAATTGCAGTCTTATTGAGTTTTACTTCTCGGCGTCCTCTCTTCGCGACTATGTGCTCCGGTGTCCCGTTCCAGTTCATTACAGGAGTGTCAAAAGTAACGAGTGCAGAAGTTATGAATCCCTGAGCTAAACGCGAGGGCCGTTAACTAGTGGTTGTTTTTCTTCCGCCTAAAAGGTCACCCGGTTGAAACTCAGTAAAACCCTAAATTTGAAAGTAGCAAAGCTGCTATAGCCCAGAACTAACCAGGGCACATTGCGCGGGTACAGTTATGTTTGGTTTACTTTCGCAGATGGACAGTGGCTGTCTGCACTCGGAGCAATTTGGAGCCTTCGCCAGCTAACCGGCGCGAAGTCTTGGGCGAACTGTTTTACCTGATCCGCTTTCCATTAATGACTGTCTCGCAATTGACTGACTTGCCTCCCAACGTAAGGCGGTTAAAAGTCGATATTAAATTAATGCTGTTGACAGCCGTTTATCGACGACATCGAAGTACAATAAATGTTAAGCTAAAAAGCCTAAAAACGTTGTGGTGGTTCATTAATAGTCAAACCTGTTCATTTCCAGCAGTGTGGTCTAAAATTTGCTACTGTGGTTTTGATGAATATGGCGGATTATATGAATCGAGAAGTTCGGTGCTATTATTTAACGCATTTTGGGATAGTAATTTCATGGATAGTTATTAACGTTTCGCACTTTCGATCGTGCAGCAAAATTTGTATAACCTCTTTTTATGTGCAGAGTGGGTTTTGGAGGCAACAGCGTTAAGGGAGATACGCCAACATAAGCAGCGCTTCCCCCAGCAATCTCGACGACACCCACTCATTCGTATCGGAAATATGGAATTCCGGCACAAGGAAGAAGTGTTCGTCAAGCGTACTGTGAAGCGTCACAAGAAGTGGCACCCTGCTGTTGTGATTGGAGCGTGCGGGTCAGGGATCATGTGTCTGATGCGTATTAAAACCGTAGAGAAGGTGCGCCACGTAAAGCAAGAAAAAATAATTCGTGCAGGGGATATTTTGGCTATCAACCAGCATGTTCTGTATTCCGTTGGCGGTTATGCGGACTCCACTTATAAGGAGGCAAGATATATCCGGTTAGCGGGAGGCTGTTACCACATCATCAGTCTGGCCCACAGACAACAAAACGTTAATTTCAACCAACTTTCCTTGCAACATTGGCGAGTTAAAGCGTGGAAGGAAGCCAAGGAGCAGCGCAAACGCTCAAAGGAATACAGTACGAGAAAGAGTTCACCGGATGCCGCTGGTCTTGCTTGAACTCCTAACTCTAGCGTTGTTTATATACTATATTTTATGTGTACATCTTTTTACTGGGTTGGTAGTTCATACTTTTGTTGTACGTGTCATGTTGGCAGAAGTGTTCGTATTTCATTCTAACGAATTTGAGAAATTTGTTTTATGGAATCATACTGCAAAGTTGGGCTTTATGCAGATGGTTTCAGTACAGATATTGTCGTGATGCGCTGTGCCCATATCTACGAGTATAATTGCTAAAATCTGCTGCCTAACAAAAACTTTCGTCAAAGTAGTTAAGACTTAAGAGGCACTACAGTGTGCGGTAAACTGTCCTCACAATTAGCGCAGGACTGTATTCAGTGTTTTTTCGGTTAGTGCTTCCAGTTTGTTACTTTTCCGGTCCGTTCCTCAACACGCCGACTCCGCTCCCGTTAGTCTGCGGAAATGGGTGACGATACGGAAAACTGATCAGCTGTATTCCGGTTCCGTTACAGAAAAGCCAAGGCGGTGACGGTATCAACTTGTACATACTTACGATTAAAAAGTATTTCCCCGTTGGTGCACACTGCTACTGCATCATGCAGCGAAGCTATTGTGCAAGTTTCCGCACATACCTTTGGATATTTTAGTCGGTGCAGCTGTTTACAGCAGAACCTCGCAGCCGTATTAGCCGGTTTGTTTGCAACCACAGGATTGGGAAGCAGTTTCGCTGATCGTGGCTAAAGTTTGCAGTGGCAAGTTATTCGGATACCAAAGATACGAACGTCGCTTCTCTTTAATGGTGCCAAAAGATTGGCCCCGAAAGGACCTACTTCGAAGTAGGGCTGGGAACAGGACGGCTACATTGCCTGGAACCCGTACGTTTTCAATTTTTCTCTCCCTGAACCTGTCCTGTCCCTGAAACTCACCGTGTCGATCAACCTGAACCTGTCCTGAACCTCATGCCCTTCACTCTGAGCCTGACCTGAAAACCTGAGCGTGTTTAAATTTAATTTTAGTTTTAAATTTTTTTCCACATTTTCACATCGGAAAGTCGATGAGCAGACAGTAGCGAAACGACCTAACGCGCGCTACGCGCGCGCATTTTTAGTGTAACGTACTGAGGTAGTGTGTTTTTATGCAATTTTTAGCGCTTGATGCACTTCTTGGGGCCATCACCCGCAATTGTCGACTTGCGGGTGCCATGATTGTCTTCCACAAAACTGAAATTCCGATAACTTTGATTTTCTTTAAAAAATTCAGGTTCCTGCAGGACTGAGTTACGCCCTGTCCCTGAACTTTCAGGGAGTTTGATTGCCCTGAACCTGAACCTGAGGCAGATTTCAGGGCAGCATTTTACCCTGAAACTGTCCTGCAGGGACAGGATCCTGCAGGATCAGGACAGGATCCCTGCCCTGCGCCCAGCTCTACTTCGAAGTCATCATTAAATATTCTAACGTTCGAACTAACAGAATATACAGCGCAACGAAACGTAATACCAAAGTTTTTTTTCCGGAATTTTCAGTTCCTTATCATGAGTACGCAAATAATCGATGATTCAGAAAAGTCCACGTTGAGGCGTAATCTCACACCGCGCTGGATCAAAGGATACGATGACTGATCAGCAGTCAGCAGCGATGTGATCAGCAGGGCTCAATAAGGTCACATGCCGCCGAGTGACGCCAGGAATTACGTTAGGATCAGACACGTCGTTGTCAGCTCCTTTTATCCATACCCGCGCGCTGTCGTAGTCCACACTAAAGATTCAACCAGAGCTAAAACAAAAGTACGTACACGGAAATCACGTGGAGACACATCTAATATTTATCAAAATTTCCGCATCGGATGTCAAAAATGTTTTCAACGCGTTCCTAAGTCTAGTAATGGACGTTTACAAAACTATGGTTCCCGGCAAAGCTCTCACACCAGCCCGCCAAACCCGGAAATATCGGCCAGTGCCGGTGAAATTATTGCCGTAAAATAAGCAAACCCAGCGATCGACGAGCAAGAGGAAGTGCAACTATGTAATCGCACCTAAAACAAAATAAGAGCACTAATATTTCATTACAACGACCATAATTCTTTTGCCGGTAGACAGCTGTCAAGAATCACCCGGCTGAGTGTACAAGCTTGTCCCGTAATTTCCATCGCATCAGAACAGCGAACATTACAAATCCGTGCTACGGCGCGCCACGCCACACTGTTTAAACACGTACCATGCATTTGGCTGGCTGGTGGCTTGGTACACGCCATATGATTCAACGAGAATAACAGTAACTGCCTGGCGTAAGGTGGCTAAGAAACAGTCGGTGTGGTAATGGACAATCTAACTACGGAGCGGATTTAGGCAATCAGATAAGCGTAGTGGCCATCGTTTCAAGCGCAAATTTTGCACTAGCTGTACCTTTACGTAGGAAATTACGGGACAAGCTTGTACAAGTATCTATCTTATAAGGAGAAGTTAAGGAGAAGTAAAGGATTATCGTTATATAAGATTTGTAGAAGTTAAGGATTACCGTTTGCAAGTGGCGGTGCGGTATAAACGGGAAAACTGTGCGCAGTTCACACGCTAGATGGTTGTACTGGCCGCATTTACTCCAGGTACAATGGCCAGCACATTCGTGCCTCGTACCTGGCAGCGGGCAGACCTTTTCGAACCAGGATAAGCCGACAAAAGGGAACTTGACCAGCACCATTCGGCTGTTTGCAATCCACTGCTGACAGATTACGATTTCTTGATCAGCATTGGATTCATATTTATTTTTAGTGATGTTTTCCGATCGGGTTCTAGCCGCTCTGCCCTGTGCTGTAACCACTGTCCGAGAATGACTTAAATCTCGTACCATGTTTCTTGTTTCCGCAATTCGGATGCGCCGGCACTACGTCATGTAGTCATGCAGTGTACATCATTACTTAGCTTGCATGTAATGTACGGCGTTTGAGGTGTTTCCCGCACCACCCAATGTAAGAGGTATCTGTACTGTGTTACGACCGTGGTGTTGACAGGTGGACGGCGGCTATCGTGGTTTGATTAATTACCAATATGCATGGTCTGCATCCTCGTTAGTATGAGTATTATTATGACCGTATCTGTGTGAAGATATTTATGGCCATATGTGTGTGAAGACATTTATGTCTTCATCGGATTATGCCTTATCTGCTGTGTAAGATCTGACCGCTGGTCAAGTGGGCATAATGAGGAGGCAGGATGAATGTGGCCTGCAGATGTGATTAATGGGAAACACAGTGATGGGATTGGTGCATGTGTTTTTATAGCTTTGTGGCTGTATGCGAATATGAGTGTGTTATGCGAGTATGCATATTGATTTGTATATAAGTTGATGCAATTGTGCGGAGACGGCACAGTTGTCGGGAATGCAGCTGTCAAGAGGTGGAAATAAAAGTTAGCTTTTTCCCTTAGTAAACGTTGCGGTGGAAGACGTAGTGCATTAAGGGTTTTATATCATTGGTGCCGAAACCGTGCTGTTTTATATTATTGGATATTCGGACAATACCTGACAGTATAACAGGCGAGGAGGAAAAGGTCATCGTTTTGGATACGGTGAACCAAGTTGTGGGATATTGTTGGTATATTGGGATAACATCTGACAATATAACTGGAGGAGGAGAAGGTCACCGTTATGGGAACGGTGGGCCGAGTTGCTGGATATTGTTGAGATATTGGGAAATATCTGAAAGTAAAGCGGAAGGAGAAAACCACCGCTGTGGAAACGGGAAACCGGCTGTTGACATTGTCGGAATATTGGGATATATTTCTGGCAACTGACGGGCGATGCTGGGAAGGTCACCGCTGTGGATGTGGTGGACTGAGTTGTTGGATATTGTTGGAAACTGGGAAAATATCCAATAATGTAGGATAAGGTCGCCGCTGTGGATACGGTGGACTATGTTGTTTGATATTGTTGAGATATTGGGATAATATCCGACAATATAGGAAGTGGCCACCGCTTGGAAACGGTGAGCCTCTGGGTTTAATATTGTTGGAATATTTGGCATATATCTCCGACAACAGAATGGGCGACAAGGACAATGTTACCGCTGTGGGAGCAGCCGGTGTGAAATATACCGTGAATGTGAACTCTCGCCAGTTAGCGAAGGAGTTTACGGATTTGAAACTGGCCAGCGACACCATGCAAGCCACCGTTGTTTAGCGGGGAAGCTAAAGAAGTGGTGCAGGAATGGTGCCGGCAATTTCAGCGCATAGGCAATGCACTTGAGTAGACGGATGCTGTCTTGCTGAAGCAGGCGCCGATATACCTGCGTGCATTTGCAGACAGTTGGTATGATAGGGAGACCAGTGATGGAGCGAGAGTTCCATGGGCTGATTGGACGGAATTTAAAGCGGCATTAATTGCCCCATTTCGTCCTAGGGATATGATACAGCGTTACAAGCGTGAGATGCGACGCCGGAAACAATTGCCGGATGAGGACATGAGTACGTACAGAGGATGATTTCGCAATATGCTTCCACTTCATTCATAAATTTATTACACTCTCCGCCGCATAGACTTTATTTTAATATTTGGTCTATCTGAAAGCCCTTCTTTTCTGCCATCAACTCCACACGATAACGCTAGGAACGAATTATTTTGTG